AAAAAAAAAAACCTGTACGAGACTGTAATCGATTACGTATTAAAACGAAACGTGAGAAGTATTAAAATAGTGTCTCGTGTTAATTTTTGTAATAGTAAATTGTTGGAATATCTGCGTCAGGGTTTATATTTAGATTCGAAATAAAAGAAAGAAAAAAAAAAAGAAACTAGAACGATCAGGAATAATATCGAATACCTAAAGAAACGAGTTTAACGGGGCAAAAGGATTAGTAAATCTAAATCGTAACAACTCTAGGAATACGTCCGTGACTGACCAAAATCGATTAGGATCTCACGTTTCGTTATAATAGTAACTGGTCCGAAAAAAAAACAAAATCAAAGCATCATATTATTACGACGAGTTGGCTCACGCCCAGGATACCACGATGCATACCTTATTGTACCGTTCGAAAGTCCTAACATTCAAGGACGTCCCATTCCGAACGTGCTTCGAATGTTCGCTAATCGCGTTAATGAAATCCTTTCCGAAGGAATTGGCCAATTTTTATTATACTTACGATTAGATCGAAATGTCAGAACCTTTAGCGTGCAGTGCGTAAGAACATTCATTTTATTCGTACAAATATTTTTCTCCTCATTTTAAATATCGCATTAACTTTATTACCTGACATTCGTGAAACACCTTTGTGTATCGTTATTCGAACAATATCATTTCCAGAATGATCGAGAGAATCTAGATCGTTATCATAGCAAACTTCGGTATTGTCCTTTCACACGGTGCGTCTAAGTAAAAAACAAAGAAAAAAGGAAAAGAAAAGAGAGAAAGATTTGTTCAGTTACGTTCATGACATTCGTAAAATATCCCCCCCCCCCTAATAAATGGTTCAGCAAATCAAATGATTCAAACTAGAATGATCTAGAATCAAGATAGTTATCATGATAGGTATTGATCGTGTAACATAACAAAGGTATAATTGCATAATCCTTATTAAAATTCAACAACGATCGGAAGGTCGTATCATTCGATGATTAATCTTAAATGATCGAGGATAAAAAAAGGATTAGGATCTGATGTGAAATGATACTTATAAATTCATCCTTTCTTATTTTTTTTTTCGTCTCGATCGATCTTTTGAGTGCAGAACACGTCGGTAAAAGTGACAGTCAAAGTAAACCGCGTTTCCTGTAGCTCGTCGCCGTGAGGTGTGGTACTTACTTACACATATCTATAATTCTATCTCTTTCCATTTTTCTTCTGTTCGTGTGCGAGCATTTGCTTCGGTTCAAGGAGATCAAGAGCCATATGTTCAACGAGTGAGCCACGCCAAGTTACGCCGCTCTGAATCTGAATCTCACGGTAAAGGAGGCATACCACTTCGCCTTCGTATTCGGGTCAACCAAGTACTATGCTATAGATATATATATTGTACTTAGTATATTACGTAACCGCCCACAACCATGGGGCGGTTCCCATCGCAACTCACTTAACCGGAAGTACAGACAACCTTTTCTTACATTTGAAAAACATTGTCTAGAAACTATGGTCAACTAAGCACGTCAAATATGCGTTTTAATTTTCAAGGATTTATCCTAGTTTTATCTTCCTAAACTGGATTACATATATCATTCGAAAACAAATCTCATTTCGTAAGACTTTCTTTCCTGTTGCCTCATGTTTGCTTTTGTTTTTTATATTCTTATAGGATTTTTTTAATCTTTTTATATAAGAGTTGATGCATGAGAATTATACTTTTTAGTTTTCAAGGATTCATCCTAGTTTACCTTCCAACTGATTACATCTGTCTTACGAATAATTTAAATTACATGAGACATTCTTTTCTTGTTAAAGATGTTTGTTTTATTTATTATTCTTTAAGATTCGTTTCATCTTTAATATTTTCCATGTTTTCTTATTAGTGAAATACGAGTTAACAAATGTATGAGAATATTAAAAATTCATTCCAATTAACTTTACAATTAATTAAAATAAAAAAGATAATAGCGTCGGAATTGCGTGAATCTTTTCTTCCCGTTCGTTAATGTTTCTCATATTAATTAATATCACAATATTTCTAATTTAAATTTTATCTGCTTACAACGTTAAAACTTAATGAACAAATGAAACGATGGAATGATTTCATAATAAAGATTTATTTTTAGTCATAACGATCAATTTCTTTGGCTCAACAAATTGACAAACCTTTCGAAGGATGTATGATCAAACCAGTAATTTTCAATTACCTTTTATACATGGGATTACATGTTTGTGGTCTCGTAACGAGGTTTAGATCTCGTTCCGAGAGACTCTATAAGGAATTTTCCAAGACACTTGGCTCTCGCACACACTCGAGTTCAGCGATCCGCGAAATTTGTACGCTCTCTCCTTGGCTGTCTCTTCTTTCTGCTTCCTATATTGACTAGAGGCGTAGTTTGATACGTGGATCCGGTTTCGCGTTTAAAAAAAATAGAATTGAATACTGAACAATATCTTACGTTCTTTAACAATAATTAGATTTTACGTCAGGTGATAGATACGAGGAGAATTGTAGTTGGTTATTTGTTATTGATAACTAAACACTGATTATTTCCAATCGGCCATTTCAATCTAATTAATTTCTGATTTCTTATCTCGCACGACAGGTTCTCGCAACGTGTCTGCTGGCTCTAACGGAATCAGCTCGACCTTCCATTCGGCCTCGAGTGAGAGAACCACAAGTGTATTACGAAGAAGACAATCAAGCAGCTGAAGATGATTTCGAGACGGTCTATCAGCCTAGAACACGTGCATTACCATCGGCACGCTCGAAGGAGGCTTTGCAACCATCCAAAGCACCACCCGTCCAAACTATAAGAAATTACAACAAAGTCAACGACGATGGATCTTTCACGTTTGGTTACGAAGCAGCTGATGGTTCTTTCAAGGAAGAAACCAGAGGAACGGATTGCGTAGTAAGAGGAAAATATGGTTACGTTGATCCTGATGGTAACAAAAGAGAATTCACCTACGTTTCCGGTAATCCTTGCGACCCTAACGCACCTAAAGAAGAAGATGACGATCTACCGGATAAACAAGAAGACGATGATCTCTCCGGTCCAGCGAATTATCCATCAGTCAGACCAGTAGCGATCAGACCGATAAGGCCGAATTATCAATCGAGTACTACCCGTGCCCCAACGACCCTTTTCCAAACTCAATACCAACTTGATGACGAGGCTAGTCAAGAATTAGAAGAAGAAGTTCAGAAACCAGTCCAACTTCGACCTACGTCTTTCAGAAAGCCTCAACAATCCTACGTACAAGTTTCACCATCGACTGCCCTTTACGAACCTACGCCAACCAGTCCACCACAATATTACAGACTGGCGTCCACCTCAAATGTACAATATCAAACGACTGCTGCACCTTCGGAAAGAACCCCGTCCACGGTATCGCCGTTAGCTTATCAATCGCTCGAGACGAGTACTCGCAAACCAGTAACCCGTCACCAAGTTCGTCCACAATCGGTTGCCATTACGCCCAGGCCCCATATCGCCCAAGTAGCCGCTCAGTATGTTTCCCCAAGTAGCACTGAAAGATCCATTCCATACAGCACGCAATCACGGCCCAACCCGAGCACCTCGAATCATCTTCGCACCAGCACCGGCCCCTCCAGCTCAGCCCACCTCGATTTTGCCGCGGAATTAGAGCGTTACGTTAACACCGTCGGTGTTCCCTCCAAATCCGCCCAACAAGCTGCACTTGCACCCTCGAGAGCGAAGCTAGGTCAAACTACGGTCACCACGGTCCCCGCGGAGCCCATCTATCAGTCGGAACTGATTTACGATCCCGCAACTGGTCAGTACAATACCCAACTTTATCAGACCTTACCCCAAACCGTTGGGGATTTTAGCATCAGTCACAAACTCCAACCATTCGTAGCCCAGCCCCACCAGTCCCTACTCGGCCTCCAGCAGCTGCAACAGATCCAGCAACATCAACAACAACCTCAGCAGCAGCAACAACCCCAACGTCAGTCGGCCATTTACAAACATCTCCCTCAGGCTGTACAATCTGCTTCCATCTCGGCTGTGTCCGTTGCCCAACCCCAGGAACTACTCTATAGGAAACAACAGACCCAGTTGCTTATGCAGTCCCAGAATCTTTATGCCCAGCAGCAACGTCGCCAACAACAACAGCAACAACAACAGCAACAGCAATCGCAACAACAACATCAACAACAACCGCAGAGACTTCAATTGTTGGAATCCCAGAGAGACCCCCAAGCGTTTTATTACGTTGCACCGTCAAGATCATCCGGTGTGGCTGCGAGTGCACCACTTACTGCGAGTCAAATCGATCAATACCTTCGTTCAGCCAGTTCTGCCAATAACTATTGATCAGAACGAGATAATCTCTGAGCGTTTCGTATTTTTTTTATATATCAACAATTTATCTTCAGGGTTTTTCAGAATGCTATCGAATGCAACACGATAAATCTTAATTGCGAATCTACTCTAGAAAGTTATTCGTTCTCGTTACACGTCTGTTAAATCGATGATACAGAAAAAGGGACGACTATAGTACAGCGATTAGTATATACCCATACATATATACTATATTTATATACTTTCTCGAAACTCGAACGTTGCACCGATCCTTTTCAGAAATTTGCAAAAAAAAAAGAAACATACAAAATTGAACGAAATTTAATTAAACTAAATGCTACGTTTTACGAGCTTGTTAAAAAAAAAAAAAAAAAAAAAGAAAAAAAAGAAAAAAGAAATAGAAAAATTATAATTCTCATTTATTACACTTTCAAGATATTAGATCGATATAAATGAACGCATGAGAAACGCGATAGAGAAAGCAACAACACATGCATACATTCCAACATACATGCAATTTTCTTTGGCGTAATCTAACCCCATAATTTCTCGCAAAATATTCGACGTTATCGTGGACCTTTCGACCTAACAGCAAATCGATCGATTATCCTCGCGAATAATCAAATCACTTATTTGGGAAACGAATTGGCATACGAAGACACGCCATTTATTCAAAAAACAACAATCAAGAAACTATTCGGGAATTATTATCGGTTACCTCAATGTGTATATGTGTATACGTGTTTCTACTCAACAGTTAACTCATTAAATATACACATAAATTTCTATATAACACAGACACATATATACATTTGCTGCACATGCATACATGAATTCAAACGTATCATAATAGTTACACCTATCTGGAGATATTCCGTTATGTTACGTAAGATGTTGAACGAATTTTGCAAGCTTATTTCTTCGAGTAGGGGATAACCAGGGAACGTGCAAAAGAGAATTGCGATGTAAGTACTTACTTACTTTCATCGGCGTGGTCCCGACTTTATAGGGACAGACCGTGCACATTCTATTCGTGGTAAACCACAACTTTCTATCAGTGTTCTTTATGTCGTTAGAAACTATTTCAGTAGTGTATATCCAGATAATCATTTTGTTCAATTAGAATACGTATAAATTTACACCATCAAATATTTTGAAATTAAACAATCATCTCCATTAATCGAACAAAGGGGAACATAAATTCTTTTCTTAAAATAATTAGTTTGCCAATTCGTTTAATTAAAATGTTAACGTATTTGCATCGTCGAATAGTTTTTGATTAAACAATCGTTTTTACTGTCCAATAGCAAAAACGACAATTTTTTAAATAATTGTTCATTTATTAAGTGTTCAATCAGAATCTGGATGCATCACAAACTTCACGGGGGAGATAATTATTTGATTTCTATATATAAAAATGATGCAAAAAATAATTATTTATATTTTCTTTAATAGGATCGGTAAACAACGATGGGCTCGTGGCAACATTTAAATTTTAATAATATTATTAATGTTATCATTATTATTATTATTATTATAATTATTAATATTATTACGCTAATTATTATTAGTATATTAGAACTAGTATTATTACTATTATTAATAATATTATTATAATATTTACGCTGTAAATAATACGCTTCAAACTTTTAAGGATTAACGTATTAGCGATTTGTACGCACGAAATGTTTTTTTTTTATCGATAAATAATAAATTCTATCTCAATAGTCGTTTTATATTACCTAATAAATATTATCATTTGTAAAAGTGAAGAGAAGAATCGAAAAAAGAAAGAAAAGGGTTAAAAAATAACGCGTTTTTCTAAGCCCCAATTGTTTCCATTATCCTATACAAAATTATATTCGTGTTAGGAACGAATCAAAAAAATACACACAACATAATTTCCGCGTTTCCTATGCCGGAAAAAATAGTGACTCGGGTAAAGAGACTCTTCCTCTTTAATCAAAACGTTAGAATGTTGATGAATTTATGCTCGACAAACTTTCTTCAATTACGGAAATTATCATTAGAATCTACAAACGAGCTCGTAGGTATTTAACTTGCACACATAATCTTCCATAGCATGCATGCATCCTCTAATTTCACGCTAACGACTTCATTACGAGTGCAGCAGCATTATTTGTTGAAATATCATCGTTGAATTTATTCTAATTGTAAGAAGAAGACACGCAATTCTTACATTCAACTGCATACTAACCAAGAAATAATAAAGTAGGCCCGCATCTGATTTTTTTTAAATTTTGCAAACTTGTAATAGTTCATGAGAATTGTGCCTATAAAAATAGCGTATATATTAAACCGTTCACAAAAAAACGCGAAAAAAATGTGTACAATTTCTCAAATACTTAGAGCTATAATTGTTATAAAATTTCAAATAAAAATGTATATGCCATATTTAGTTTTTGTGTGTGCCTTCAGAAATGCTTATATCTACATATAATATTTTAAAAAGTAGCAATTATAGGAGCTCAAGTAGATGATAAATCCAACGATGATCACCTGTAACAAAAAGCAAAATATATTAATCATAA